CACTTGAGTTGCAAACTTTCACAGATACAAATCAACCCCACATTATGAACATCCGTAGATGTGAATAAATCTCCAGAGGAGCCCACATGTCCGCCCGACACGGTCACAGCTGGGCTGCTGTGTGCTCACTATACAGTGCGACAGCGCACAGTAGGACCGTGCTGTCAGAGCTCAGGAGGTACGGAAGCAAGAGGAGACGCAGTGGGGCTGTGGAGGGGATTGCTGGGAAGCAGTGCAAAGCTGCACACATTGCATATTTGGGCCAAAGGTGTTTAAGACTCACTTCGTCGGACTTACAAATGTATCCGACTAATGGACATTACCCCAAAATGGAACTTGCTTATAAGTCAGGGACTTACTGTATATAAATTCAATAAAATTCCTACTAAAATCTCAGCAAGATTTTTTATAGATGCAGACAAGTTCACTGTGGAGCTAGGTACATGGTCCTGGGTCCAATCAGAAGTCACAGGAGGAGGAAGAAGGGGAGAGGAGGAAGAAGAGGAATTTTACATATAAAGACCTAGAGTAGCTACAATAATTATGAAAAATAATAAAGTGAGAAAAATTAACCTATCCAACTTTAGGGCTTACATTTAGCTACAGGAATCAAGTCGATGTTGTACTAGGGCTGGGGATTTGGCTCAGTGGTTCCGCCACCTGCCTCGAAAGCACAAGGTCCTGAGTTCGAACCCTGGTACCAAAACAAACAAACAAACAAAAAAACAATGGTGAAAAGGAGATTCGATGGAAGAAAGGTAGCTGTTTTCAAATAACAGGGTGGCAGGGCTGAAATAACCAGACATCCACAGGCAAAAACAGGAACCACAGCCCAAACCTGAAAGTGGATCGCAAGCTCTCAAATAAAACATAAAATGATAAAACTTTTAGAAAACACCATAGGAGAAAATCTTTGGGATATTGGTAAAGAAGTCTGAGACATGGCATCAAAAGTATGATCAATAAGAGCAAAAATTGATACATTGATCTATTTAGTTTTTGTGGCAACTGCAACAAAATGCCACAGGATCCTTGGTTTTAAAACAACAGAAATTTACTCTCTCACAGTTCTGGAGGCCCAAAGTCTAAAATCAGCATCACTGGACCAAAATCAAGTGGCCACGCTCCTTCTTGTGGCTACAGGAGATAATTCATCGATTGCTCTTCTAGACCTTGGTTTATGGTTCCAACACTCCAACCTCTGCCTTCAAGATGAGGTTTTCTCATCTTCAGCATTAAATCATCCTCTACCTCTCTTTTTTTTCCTGCCTCTCAAAAGGATGCTTGCAACAGAATTTATGGCTCATCCCAATAATCCAATACAATCCTCTTATCTCATGATCTTTAAGTAAATTACAGCTGCAAAGTCCTTTTTTGTCATATGAGGTAACAGGTTCCAGAGATGAGGATGTATATGTCTTTTGGGGACCCTTATTCAACTTACCACAATTGGACCTGGTTAAAATTTTAACACGCTGCTTTGCAAGAGATCCCAGAAGGATAAAGAGAGAAGCTAGAGACTAGATAATATTTACAAACTATATATTCCACAAAAAGTCAGTGTTTCGAATGTGTAAGGTTTATAACAAATGGAGATTTCAAGTATATCCGCCTGTTGGGCGCACTTTACATGAGGCTGACTGGCTCTGCAACTGATTGTTACAAGTACTTGGAACCTTTATACAAGGACTATTGAGAAATCAACAGCCAGCACCAAAATGGAGAGTTGGAACTGATGCGTGTAGATGAATCCATTGACAAACTGCTGCCCAGTGAGAGAGTATGTGATATCATTCTGCCCCCGCTACAGAAACGCTACGTGCTAGAGGAAGCTGAGCAACTGGAGCCTCAAGTCAGTGCTCTAAAAGAAGACGCAGGCATTGTGGAGTCCAGTGAAGAGGAAGAAGATAAGCTGGCAAGAGTCCAGTCACCCGATCATCGCTGGAGAAGCTCCAGAGACTCAGACCAGCCTGGTCGCTCTAACACACTGTGATACAGGAGGAGGAGGGGTTGGTTTCCCAGAAGGCAGAGTCCATCTCCCAAAAGAAGTCCTTCGGCCCGCAGAGAAAGGCATCGGACCAACAGTCCAAGACACCACAGAGGCAGGTCCCCGAGATTGATGACACAGATCCCGCTCCGAGTCCCCAAGTCATCACCATGGTCACAGACACAGGAGAAACTCCCAGTCTCCTGAAAGGTCAAAGAAAAACCGTAAGAAGACTCGGAGAGGGGATGACGCATGAATTCAACTTGGTTTTAGTCCAAATGCCCTCCTGTGGATACGAGGGTATCTATGGAGAAGGATTAAGAGCTGCTCTCCCGGCAGCTATAATATTTCAGTTTTTTCTCTTTTCTTTTCTTGTTTTGTTAATGGAAGAAGTGCTGAGTTTTGTATCTCTTTTCAGCTGTAAACATCTTTGAAGAATGATGTTTCCTCAGGTCAGTTTTAGACCCAATCAACTACAACTATATTCAAAATTATGAGGGTTGAATGGATCTGAGAATTGGGACTGTGAGGGACAAAAGACTTGGCCATACTGGTGACCCTCTGACCTTATGCTATTAAACCTGAGACACCCCCTCAATAAATAAATAAATAAAAATTTAAAAAGAAAAAAACAATGCGTGATTTTTTAAAGAACTCAATTAGAAAATGGGCAAAAGCTAAAAGCAGATACATAGATATCGCAGAGGACACATACATAAATGGCAAGTAAGCTAAAAGCAGATATATATAGATATGTATTAAAGAGGATACATATATAGATGGCAAAAAAGCACAAGGAAATGTTAAACATCAGCTATTAGGAAAATGAAAATTAAAACCAGCATTACATATCACTACACATCTACTGAAATTACTAAAATAAAAAATAGTAGTTTGTACACACTGGTTATCCTAGCACTCTGGGAGAATGAGGCAGGAAAATCACAAATTGGAGCCCAGCCACTTGCAATTTAGGATTTCATGGTACTGTTTTGTTTTGTTTTTAAAGTGACAATGCCAAATACTGGCGAGATATGGGAAGAATTAGATCACACATACATTGTTAGCGGGAAACTAAAATGGTACAGCCACTCTGGAAAACACAGGGTGGCCTCCTCTCAACAAAGTCAGCAGCAACTGCCATCTGGCACATCAGTTGCACTCCTGGGCACTTATCCCAAACAAATAAAAACAAGTTCACACAAGAGCCTGGAAACAAAGGTTCAGCACAGCACTACTCAAAACAGCCCCACATTAGAAACCACCCAGACGTCCTTGAATGGTCAGACAAATTGTACCACATGCCTGGTTGGTAGATCCATGAAACTACTACTACTCTACAACAAAAAGAAAGAAACTATGCAGACTTGCAACAACCTGAATGACTCTCTCCAAAACTGCACTAAGGAAGGAAAAAAAAATCCCAAAAGTTTACATACTGTCTGACTCCGTTTATACAATATGCTTGAAATGATAAAATTTTACAAACAGAACAGATTGGCAGGCGTCACAGCTGGAGGACAGGGTGGGGCTGGTACGTGGGTGTGGCAAAAACAGGAGAGGTTCTTACACTAGGACAAGTGTTCTGAACCTTGACTGTCTTCCATCAGTATCTTGCTTGGAATAGTTCTGCAAGATTTTCCACTGGAGGAAACTGGGTACAAGGTACGCTAATTATCTCTTACCCTAGCATTAGGGTCTATAATTCCCTCACATTAAAAAGATTAATTTTCAAAATGATTTATAAAAGATAAGCCCGGATTCTGTATTAGATTCAATAGGCATAAAATCCATCAAAATAGTAAAACTCTGCTCTTCAAAAGACACCATTAAGGCCAGGCGTGGTGGCGCATGCCTGTAATCCCAGCACTGGGGAGGCTGAGGCAGGAGGATCGCTGTGAGTTTGAGACCAGCCTGGGCTACATAGTGAGTTCCAGGTCAGTCTCAACTACATAGTGAGACCCTGTCTCAAAATACAAACAAACAAGCAAACAAAAACAAAAAGACACCATTAAGAGGGCGGGGGATTTAGCTCAGTGGCACGGTGCCTGCCTCACATGCGCAAGGTCCTGAGTTCAAGCCCTAGTACTGTAAAAAAAAAAAAGTAAGACACCTTTATGAAAATAAAAAGGCAAGCCTTTTTATTAGTAATACATGTATTTTACAATAGTAATACATTAGTAATACATGTATTTTACAAAGCATATCCAGAACATATAAAGAGCTTTCAGCAGGGTGTGGCAGCACACATGCCTATAATCCCAGCAGTCTGGGAGGCTGAGGCAGGAGGATTATAAATTGGAGCCCAGCCTGGGAAACTCAGGGATTCTGCAAGACCCTGCCTCAGAACTAAAACATAAGAAAGGATTGGAGATGTAGCTTAGAGTGAAGGCCCTAGGTTCCACCCCCAGTACCACGAAAACATAAAACAAAAGCTTTTATAATTTAGTAAATACAATGCAGTCAAAGCCACAGCAAGCTAGATATTGACTTCACAACCACCAACATGGTTAAAATTAAAGACTGACAATGTCACATACAAGCCAAAAGTGTGGGCAACGGAACCAGCTTACTGCTGTCTGGGGATGTGAAACGGTACAAGCGCTTTGGAAAACTTCATAGCAGTCATACCTAGAAAGTGACCCGGGCGATTTGAAAGCATGCATTCACAAAAAGACTAGTACATGAATGCTTTTTCACAATAGCCCCAATCTGGAAACAGCCCAAATGTCTATCAACAGGCGAAAGGATATGCCAACTGCGGCATGTCTATACAATGGAATAAAGCACAGCCAATTCCTGATACACACACACAGAGCATGCTGAGCCACAGAAGAGAGACACAAAAGACTCCACTGGATGATTCCATTTACATGAAATTCTAGAACAGGCAAAACTAATTCATAGTGACAGAAAACACATCAGCTGTTGCCTCGGGCTGGGTGAGGGCAAGGGAACTGACTACAAAGGGATAGTAGGGAGATCTCTGGGGGTTGCTAAAGATTTTCTGTACCTTGATTAGGGAGATGGGTTTAAATACTTGTCAAAATCATCTCACTGGGGCTGGCGATGTGGCTCCGTGGTAGAGAGCTTGCCTACTGTTCGGGAGGCCCTGGGTTCCACCTCCAGCGCCGCAAACAAACCGCACATTGCCGTGTTTCACTGTAGGTAAATTATAACACCACACAGTTGATTCCTAAAGGACAAAATATAGCCAGGCGTGGTGGCATACGCCTGAAATCCCACTACTCAGGACGCTGAGACAGGAGGATCGTGAGTTTGAGGCCAGCCAGGACTATGTAGCCAGATCGTATTTCAAAAACGGGGGGGGGGGGGAACACAAAAATATAACCTTACGTTTTGTCTTAGATTCTAGAGACACAAAAAGTAAAACTTTTAAATGCTTCCTAAAGTTTCTAAGAGCTCACTCGATTTCTGCTCTTAACTCCTCCTCCAACGCGGACAAAGACTGCAATCTGGCCGTGGTGCAGGGCAGTTAAGCGGCACCGCCTCCCTACTCGGCAGTCTACCTGGGTTCTCAGCGTCTTCGCAGCCCCCTCAGGTCGGAGAGCCGCAGGCCAAGGAGACTGGAGGCTCCGGACGTCGCCCGGGGTCACTGGGTCTCGAACACGGGCTCGCGCTGCAGTCTCAGCGCCCGGTAAGTGTCGAGGCCCGGCAGGTCGAAGCCCGGGGCCAGGCCGTGGCGATCCAAGCGGTGGGAGT